CTTTCTTTCCCTTCCTTCCTTCCTCCCTCCCTCCCTCCCTCCCTCTCTCTCTCTCTCTCTCTCTCTCTCTCTCTCTCTCTCTCTCTCTCTCTTTCTTTCTTTCTTTCTTTGAGACAGGGTTTTTCCGTGTAGCCCTGGCTGTCCTGGAACTTGCTTTGTAGACCAGGCTGGCCTTGAACTCAAGGATCCACCTGTCTCTGCCTCCTGAATGCTGGGATTAAAGGCATGAGCCACCACACCCAGCTTAGGTGACAGATATTTCTTGTCTGCCATTACAGAGGAGTCAACAGCACTGTGCTGAATCCTATTCACTCAAGGCTGTAGCATCCTTTTGTTATCGAAACCCCTTTACTTCCATTATTATTTTTATACCTTAAGAACTCCTCATCCTGGAATTTTATTTGTAATTCCAAATCTCATAAAGAGGATCTAGCTCCCTGCACCTAAATCAGCAACCTGCACCCCTCCCCCATCTTCTTGGCCTAACTGGAGCGGCAGCCTGGGCTCTGGGCCCCACATGCCTATCACCCCGCAGGAGGAGCCTGGCCCTGTGATCTAGAGCCGACAGGATGGAAGTGTAAACTGTTCATGCAGGATGAGCACAGACAGGGTGGCATGGGCACAGATACAGAGGTGGTTTCATGGTCTGCATGTCCTGTTTAGTCAGCTCCGGGCCCTGCCTGGGGCCACGGAGGATGAGAAGCAGGCATGGGTTAGTGGAGGACTCGTGTGCTTATGGTGGGATGTGCTCTGGTGAGAAAGACCACAGCGAACAGAAAGCATTTCATACCCATTATAGTTATCTGAGCGGTTCCTGGAAGGCAAAGAAGAGCCAAGTTGAAGGGGTGAGAGCATCAGGACCCAGTAAAGCGAGAGGCATGTCACTAAGGGCGCATGTGCTGGAACTGTCTCACTGACAGTCATCCCAACCTCTGAATTCCAGACAGAGGGGGCCAGAGAGCAAGCCCATCCCTGCTCTCCCGCCTGCATCCTCTCAATTCTGTGAGGAAGTAGGGCTTACTTGGGGAAGGGGGAAGGGAAAGATACCCTGGAGATCAGGAAGTGGAAACCTCAGTCCCCCAGTGACAACGAGAGACTCCGAACTTTCTGTCCACCACACTGTCCGAAGGGCAGCTGACCAGGATGCATCCATCCTCTTTTTGAACAGCCAGCCTTATCACTTGTGGAGGCTCCAGGAGAACAGCAGCCAGATGTTGCCGCAGCTGCTCCCAGCTCTCAGAGCTGCCTTGAGGCGACCCATCCATTCTAACTCCCACATAAAGATTTGAGATCTAAAATATTAACCTCTAAGTCCTCAATTTTTCCTTCACCTGGGATCCTCTGAAAAAGAGTTGTTCTGTCGATAGGCAATATTTGTAATATTTTCAAATTGTAATATTGTAATAGTTTCAATGTGTGCTTGTATGGACAACCTGGATCCGTTCTGAGGGACTCCAAGGGAAGCCTGAGAGGATGGAGCCTGAATTCATCACCGAAGGTTTTTACCTTCATCTTCAGACACATCCAGGATCTCATCCACCGTCTCAGGGTAGCTCATCCGGTGCTTGTCGCTGACTAACTGGAAGGAGAAAGGGCAGAGGCTGGGACCCACACGGAACACGGTATCTTTGCTTCAGTTCAGCGGCTGCCCCGGACGAGCAGCCAGGAAAGGAGATGGAAAGGTGTGCCACCAGGCCTAGGAGGCATTTGATCTGGAAGCTGAAGCCTGGCGGGTACTGTAGTCAGGATAATGCCAGACCTCAGGCTGCCTGCCCGATTGCCTCACCCCCTCCCCAAGCCCCATCCAGTTCTTTGGTCACTAGGTGGCAGTATTGTCCCACCTGTAGCTAGTCGTGCCTACCAGATGGGAGGCATTGGCTTTGGGCGGTAACCCTCAGGACCCAGGGCTGTAGCTGGAGTTGGGGCTGGGGTGCCTCAGGGGAGGGGCAGACGTACCACTGCACTGGTTTCATCCGTGACCACCTTGAGCACGTCTGTTACAGAGATATAGCCCAAACGCTTGGCTATTGCCAGAGGTGTGGTTCCGTTCTAGGACAGAGGAAAAGCAGACAGGGAGTCAGAGGACAGAATCTGCCTCTTGGACACAGACCAGGTTTGCTTGGATTCTTCAGAAGGGCCCAAGTGGACAGACTGGGCCTTGGAGCCAAGATTTGTGTCCAAGTATGTGACCCTGGAGGCCACAAAAAGATGAGAGAAGACAGGAAGGTGAGCAGGGCACACTCTAAGCCCTGGGTGTTAAGTATATGGCCTTGACATGAGAACGGGGCCAAGTCTCCCAAGGCAGGCAAGCCCTGCTGGGAGGAGCCGGTTAGCAGCAGGGCAATGCTCCCATACCCCTCCTCAGCTGTCAGTAACTGCGTGTTATGATAGTTAACAGCAATCCTGAACCTTTCAGTTCACTAATTAGATCTGCCAGGATTCACAAATTCCCCAAATGGGATGGGGACACTTTAATGTTTTATTCTTAAGATAAAGGGTTAGGTGAGAACTGCAAGGCACTGAAGCCTTTATCTTTGAAGGTCCTTCTCTGCTTTCGGACTGTGCCCGGGGCCCCACATGACGTCAGTCCAGCAAACATCTGCAGTCAAGGTCAAGGGTCCACAGCTTTCTGAGTTGGGAAGAGCCCTGCAGGTTAATCCTACCAACCCCACGGTCAGGACAGGAAATCCATCCCGAACCACAATTGCCAAGGCTGCTAGGGATGTCTTCCAGGTCCAAAGCACTTAATTTTGCCTACTCATGCCATACTTCACGAAGGTAGCTTCAAACACAGCAGAAGGTGTCTCATCAGGAACAGTTAACAAGCCAGAGCAGAGGAGGCATGCTGTTGGTGAAGGTCACTCTCCAGTGACCAAAAGGAGCCACATTCAAATGTCTGGAGTACACAAGGCAGCTACATTATGGTGCGTAGCTCTGCCCAGACTCCAGAGTGTCAGCAACCTATATGGTTAGGGATGCTCCCCTTGCTGTGTGAAATGGGACCAGTTGGGTACTCACCGAGCTGACCTCGTTCGGAGAAGCACCGTTCTTCAGGAGCAGCGTCACAATGTCTGTGTGGCCTTGCTGAGCTGCTTGGTGCAAGGGGCTGTATCCTAGCTATGAAGTAAGGCAGACATGTGGCAGGATCAGTGAGCTGTTGGGGGCAGGAACTGCATACACACTCCAGAGTCCATCTCCTAAAACTGCTCCTCCCCTCCACTTCCTTCTTTACGTTCAGAGCTCAGGACCGAATCAGGGCCTGGAGTGGCTCTGGTTGCCTCCTAAGTGAGTGCCTGGGAGCTGTCAGCGTGGGAGTTGGGTGTAAGGTGCCCCTGTACCTTGGTCTTGGCATTGACATCCGCCTGGTGCTGTAGCAAAAACTTCACCAGCTTGATGTTTCCATAATGACTGGCCACGTGGAGCGGGGTGTAACCCATCTGAAAGGCAAGGAATGAATGTGGGTGGGAAGTCATCTGGGCACGCCGAGCACCAGCAGAGCCACGCTTCAATGGAATCCTTACAGAAGCGGCTGCTTCAGGGAGGGGAGGAAAGCTATGGGGGGAGAGTGAGGGCCGCTGTGAGACATGGTGCTGATGCTGGTGGGAGAAGGGACAGGATCTGGTGTCAGACAAGGGGAGGTTGAGATGTTACTGAAGTCATCAAGCAGGCAGTCGGAAGGCTGACATGAACCTGGAAGAGAGAGCTAGGCTGAAAACTGTTAGCCTTGAAGATGAGCAAGGGCGGCTGACATGAAGCAGAGGGAGGGACAAATGTCTGTGGCAGCACCTAGAAAGGCTTGCGGGTGATCGGAGAGAGCTGTGCCAGGATTCCAGACGCGTTCTTTTTAGAAGGAGAGCCTGACGGGTCTGTGCTAGGAGGAGCTCTGGAAGGACAGACAGCCACGTACGGTCAATGCCGACATTCACAACAGCAGACTCATTTCTTCTACTAGAGGGGTGGAGCCTCACTGTAAGCATCCAGATGTTAGCGGAGTTATCAGAGTTTATAGGAAGTGACCATGGTCTAAAGTGATGGACCACGGTTATTCAGGTGACTGTGGGCTGCCGTACCAATTTCCAAAGAATCTACCCTGTTGATTTTTGCTTGTTTATTTTTGGTAGGGATGAACCAGGTCTCCCACATACCAGCAGGTGCTCCACATCCTCCCTGTTCAAACTCTGCCCCAGCTCCCATGGATTGGTGTTATGCCCAGATGGCTGACAAGCCAGACCCTCTTTGGTCACACATGTCCTTAGGGAGCCAGCTGAAGATTCCAGAGGCCCTCTTAACACAGACCCTATGGGTCAGACCCTCATGTCCTGATATGGCTTTGTCATCTATGAGGCAGCCTAATCTACAGAACAGGGTCCTTCAGGGAAGGACCCCAAAAGACTGAACTAGGATAAGGATATTCTTGGCCTTTAAAGAGATTCTTGCTGAAGCTGTGGGAAGCTCTTCTTGGGATGTCTTCAGCACAACATCATGGCTAGAGCATCTATGGAACTGGAGTGCATGTGTGCGCACGCACGTGAGTGTGTGCGCACTGCTGGTGGTATCACTTTGTTCCTTCCTTGGGGTTTTCCAATGCTGGGGACAGGACCCTGGGCCTGGAATATGGCTAGGCAAACTCTCTACCCTGAGTTACATCCTCAACCCTTTGTCCCTTCTACTTAAGGCAACAAAGGGAACGAGGGTGTTCCTCTTCCATGCAGTCCCTTCTCCCACCAGCTGGGGGTGCTCTTTTCTCTGTCTGGGCTGCCAGCTTCTTAGTCTGGATGTCACATTTTACAGCTCCTTCCTGTCACTGCAGTCATGTCCCCACACTGCAAACACCCAGAGCAGTGTGCTGTGTACCACGCACACACTCACCCTTACACCACAACACAGGACTCTTTGACACAGAGAACCTGAGAGAAAGCCAAACTCCATTCAACACAGTCTTGGCATGAAAGGGGCTGTACTTCCGAGTGACACAGAGGAAGCCTGGCTACCCTCTACATGCTTACTACACACGTGAGACAGGATTTAACATCATGTGTAAACACCTCTTCCAAGTTCTTAGGACAAACTCAAAGGTCTAGCAAACTTTAAAAAATTCCCGGATATTGGGCTGGAGAGATGGCTCAGAGGTTAAGAGCACTGACTTCTCTTCCAGAGGTCCTGAGTTCAATTCCCAGCAACCACATGGTGGCTCACAACCATCTGTAATGGGATCTGGTGCCCTCTTCTGGCCTGTAGTCATACATGCTGTATACACAATAAATAAATAAATCTTAAAAAAAAAAAAAAAATTCCCGGATATAACGAGTAGCCATGAATGCTCGAGTCTCCAGACTCCTTACCAGTCTCAGGAAAAGGCAGAAAAGTGTTGATCCTCAGGTTTTGTGTCCATGAAGGAGACAATTCTGAGGTGTGAGGGGGTACATCAGGGTGGATCGCGACAAAGCATGCAGCTAAGGGAGGGAGCCATGACAAATGCAGGCATAGGGTGGCCTGTCTTACCCGGGTGGTAGCATCCACTGTGACACCATGTTTGATCAGCACGTCTGCCACTGGAACATGGCCTTCTTGTGCTACCAGGTGGAGAGGAGTGAGTCCACTCTAAAAAGAAACAGATGTGCATCAACTTTGAGTCAGGGAAGAATCCCAGGCTACAGTGATAGAACTGTGAGGCTTGAAAGCCCCAACTCGGCTATCTGACTGGTTATCTGGCAAAAATCTTCCTATCCTGGGCCTCCATGTCCTCATCTGAATGCCAGGTGACTAACATAGGGAAGGGTCAGGCAGCTTTTTCTGTTACGGGGCCGACCGCTAATTTATGAGACCTGTGTCTTTGTCACTTTGCCAATCCTGGTAACAAGCAGTTCCAGCCAGCAGGGAAACCACCGGGCATGGCCGAGTTCCAATAAAGCCTTAGAGCACTAAGCAGTGGGCTTGGGTTGGCCCACAGACAACAGATTCACTCAACGAAGACTTTCAATTGTAGTGATTGTCATTTCCTCGGCAAACTTTGCTGCCTTGGTTTCTTATTCTAGAAGATACACTTTACCACCGACTTATCTCAAGGGCAAAGCAGGGGGCATCTGAGACAGTGCCATCCATGTAAAATCATGATGCAACTTCTGAGAGCATGTGCTACCACTGCCCTGCAGCCCACGGCACTGTGAGGAGGGTGGGGACCCCTCTGGGAGTGAAAGGACCACATTCTCGGACTTCTCATCAGCTTTTTCATGAGAATAGTGATACGTCAAGGTGTTGATGGCTATGTGGGAATTTGCACAGAATCTGTTGGGAAAGCCTCCTTCCCTTTACTTCCTCTGATGAATATAAAAGCCCAACTCTGGTTCTTCATCAAATGACTCCACTTCCTCAGGCTTCCCAAGTCTGGATCCTGTTTCCTAATCTAATCTAATCTAATCTAATCTAATCTAATCTAATCTAATCGAATCGAATCGAATCGAATCGAATCGAATCTGTTGTTTTGTTTTTTTCTTAATTGGCAAGTTGAGATCATTAATATTGAGAGTTATTAATGAGCAGTGCGTATTGATTCCTGTTATTTTATTGCTATGGTGTGGGTCCCCCAACCCTCTCTTTTTATTTGCTGGTCTGGGATTATTTATTCCTGTGTTTAACCCCTAAGAATTTGCAGGCTACATAATGGGAAAAGATCTTAACTAATAATACATCGGATACAGGGTTAATATCTAAAATATATATATTAGAACTAAAGAAATAAAAGAATAAAGAACTAAAAGAAAAACTCTGAACATCAAGAAAACAAATAACCCAATTAAAAAATGGGGTACAGAACTAAATAAAGTTCACAAAGACGAAACACAAATGGCTGAGAAACACTTAGGGTTAGAGTTAGGGCTCAGCATTCCTAGTCATCAGGGAAATGCATCTTATACCTCTCAAAATGGCCAAGATCCATAAAACAAATCATGCTGGTGAGGATGTGGGGTAAGGTGAGCACACATCCATTGCTGTTGGGAGTGCAAACTTGTACAGCCACTATGGAAATCAGTGTGGCAGTTCCTCGGGAAACTGGGAGCAGATATACCTCAAAATCCAGCTATTCCATCCTTGGGCATATACCCAGAGAACTCTTCATCCTACTATAGAGGATCTTGGTCAACCATTTGCATTGCTGCTCTACTCATAATAGCCAGAAATTAGAAACAGCCTAGATATCCAAAGAGATGAATGGATAATGAAAATGTGGTACTTCTACACAACGGAATATTATCCAGCTATTAAAAAATTGAAATCATGGAATTCACAAGTAAGTGGATGGAGTTAGAAAAAAAAATCATCCTGAATGAAGTAACCCAGACCTCAAAAGGCAAATATGGCATATGTTCTTTTACATGTGCATGTTAGTGTTTAAGCCTTCAACAGCCATGCTACAATCTGTACAACCACAGAGGTTAGGTGTGGAGTAAGGATCTAGGGAGGATCTCCCAAGGAAAGGAAAACAGAATAAATAGTTATGGAGAGACGGGGGGGGGGGAGACTGGGATGGGAATATTAAATAGAGGGGGAGGAGAGAGTGGGGTATGGAGGGAATACAGGGAAGGACAGCTAACACTAAGGGCTACTTGAAGGGTTATGTAGAAACCTACTACAGTAAACGCTTATATATATATATATGAAACCTAAATGGAGGAGGCAAAGCCCCAACTAGATACCTTTCACCACCAAGGGAAACCTCCAGTGCCAGAAATGGGTTACATCTAGTTGAGGCTCTATGTAATCCCCCAAACAACTCAGCTATTGCTAAAGCCATTGGCTCCTCTTTGCAAGCTAATGGCAAAGTCCTATTACTGAGGCCAGCACCTACATAGCTCATTGAACATGAAGTCAGGCTGGTGCCTACCTAGAGCCTTCACCTCTACTGCAGGTATTCAGGGGACTAGAAGGCACTCTGCATGTCATCAGAGGAGAAAGGTAAACACCAACCGAGCTACAAACCCTGTGGTCTACGATGATGACCTGCCCTGCCTGATAGGCGGGCTCAATGGTGGCACAAATGTTGTGGAGGTAACCAACCACTTCCTGTTTATATTTAAGGCCCACTTCATGAGAAGGGACTCATGTCTGACACTTCTTGAGTGGCCAAGAACCTGAGACTAGATAGGCCATGGGCCTAAGGAAAACAAAGGAACATAGCAATAAAAATGATCCTTAGTGACATTCTGCTATACACATAGATCAGTGTCTTGCACAGCCATCATCAGAGAAGCTTATTCCTGCAGCAGAGGGGAGCTGACACAGAGAGCCACAACTGGACAACGTGCAGAGAGCAGGAGACCTTGGAACACTTAGTCCTGAATGGGATGTCTTCATAGACCCCTTCCCCTCAGGGCCCAGGGAACCATGTGGAAGAGGATGCTAAAAGATGGTGAAGGCCAGAGGGGATGGCTGACTCCAAGGAAATGCTGTCCCCAGACACAACAGAACTGACACACACAATGAACTCATAGAGACAATGGAGGCACACACAGAGACAGAACAGGTCCAAGTTAGATGGGGTCCTGGCACTGAGAAGGGGAAGCAGAAACAAGCTCTCATCCCTGACCAAGAAACTTTCTTCCATTGATACCAGGGGCAAAGGAAAAACCAGTTTCATCCGATGGCGTCTCACTGTGTATATTAACCACATTCTAGGGTAGGCCCATGCCCAGTGGCAGATAGCCAACATAAAATTAACTCAATGGCATTTTTGGAGATTTATTTTATTATATTGTTTTTATCTCATATTGCTTTGTTTGAGCATCTTTTATCTTACTGGTCTTTTGCTTGTTTCCAATTTTGTGTTTTTATGTGTGTGTGTGTGTGTGTGTGTGTGTGTGTCTGTGTGTTGTGCTTTTTCTCTCTCTTTTTTGAAATTCTTGTTTGTTTCCCAGAAAGAGAGAGAGATTGAAAGGCATTGGGTTGGAAGGGTGGGGAGGTGGGGGAGAGATGGATGATGAGGAAGGAGAAACTGTGGTCAGAATACATTGTATGTAAAAAAAAATTTTTTCAATTAAAAAAGAGGGGAGGGGAACTCCATGAAAAACAAACGAGCAAACAAACAAAAACACAGTGCCTCCAGAGTGCTTTAGGGGATTACAAATTCACCTGAACATGCTTGTCTTCCCAAAATTCTTAGGCTAATTTATCCTCTAAAGAAGTGGCTGCTGGCCGGGCAGTGGTGGTGCACACCTTTAATCCCAGCACTCAGGAGGCAGGGCCAGGTGGATCTCTGTGAGTTCCAGGCCAGCCTGGGCTACCAAGTGAGTTCCAGGAAAAGGCGCAAAGCTACACAGGGAAACCCTGTCTGGAAAAACCAAAAAAAAAAAAAAAAAAAAAGTGGCTGCTGGGTCGTTGCTCCGTCAACAAGGCTTGCCATGTAAATGTAAGGGCATGTCTACATAGGCCCCAATCCAGAGCAGCATCTACATTCAGGAATATATACTTTTTTCAATGGAGACTTATATACTACACAAGGAGCTCGCAACCCAGGATCAGGAGATGTATGGGTGTGAGGCATTTTAAACTTTTACACACCGCCTACAAGGATGGACACAAAGGCATCTTTTCTGGGTGAGTTGTTCACAGTCTTCCTCAGCCTCTCAAAAGAGTTCATGAACTGAGGAAGATCAGTATTGTTTCTCTTTAAGCAACAGTCTCATTGACATATAATTTTCATGAAATTCGCCCTTTAAACTGTAAAAATTCATGGTCTGTAGCATGTAGGGACCTGGGAAACCATCATGCTGTCTCACGTTAGAACCTTGTCATCTCCCACAAAGGAAACGGCATCTCCATCATCAGCCATTTCCCATTCCCTGGGCACGCCAATCCCTAACAACCACTAGTCAGTCTCTGTGAATTTGTCTGTCCTAGACATACTTTATCATTGGGATCAAGCAAGATTGAGAACCACTTTGTGTCTGTGTGTAGATGTACACTACATGGGGACGTCTGGAGCATCAGAAGTCAACCTTGGTGTCAGGCTGTCGGAGCTACGCACCTTATCTTTGAGACAAGGTCTCTCACTGGAAACAGCTCTCTGCTAGCTGGTCAGTGGGCTTCAATGTTCCTTCTGTCTCTGTTACCCCAGCAACACTGGGACTACTATCATGTGCTACCAGGCCTGGCTTTTTACATGGGAAGGACTAGAAGAACCAGAGAAGATGGATGACACCACAAAAAAAAACGTACTTTCTACCACAGAGAGTAGATATGCAGTACCAAATTATGCAATGTATCCCCAAATGTAGATGCTGGCCCACACTGGGGCAAGCACATTTTTGGGTTTTCGTGGTGATCTTCTTGTAGATCCTCAGAGGAGTAGAGCGAGGCAGTCTGACATGGGAAGGGTACAGAGGCTGGGGTCTCACAGCCTTCCTTGCCAGCCGGCTGTGGATTCACTATGGCACCGAGATAAAACTTACAGAGTGCTATCTGTTATCAGTGTCCCACCCACGTATCTCATGCAGAAGCAGAGCACTGGGTAAGTACATAAGCTAACACCTTCACTGAAGGGGTAGGGTAATCTCAGAGGGGCCTACCTTATTTCCCAGGTTGCCATTGGCTTGCTTTGACAGGAGAAGGGCGACCATTTCTGTGTGGCCCTCTTGGGCAGCAAGGTGCAGCGGGGTCACGCCTTGCACAGACTCGGCATTCGCCGACCCTCCATACTGCAGCAGACTTCGGGCCACCTCTATCTGGTTCTGCTTGGCAGCAATGTGCAAAGGGGTGTAGCCGTTCTGAAACAGAAGAAGGCCCCTGAGTTCTCTTTCACCCGACAGCCGAGGCAATGACAGGAGGACATGGGACTCTGAGCAGGGCCGTTGTCATCAAGGAAAGCATGTTAAATGAACGGGAAAAAAATGGACACACTACTGTTGGAGCTAGATCTGCAGGTGAGGCTCGAATAGCCAGCAAACGTCTGCTCCCTTCTCACCATCGGTTGTGACCAATCATCTTTCTCAGATGCGCTGCTAGGCAAGCGATGTTACCAAGCACAGTTCAGATTCCAGCTTCAAGGTAAGGTAGGGGAGAGTTAAAGTTTCCCATCTCTCCCCCGTGGCAGTAAGGACTCAGAGCCCCAAATGCTTCATGTGGAAAAGAAACGGAACCATGTACAGTGGCACATACTTTAATCTCCTAATTCTGGAGACTGAGGAAGGGTGAGCTGGGAATCAGCCAGGACAGTTAGTGAAACCCTGTTAAACAACAACAACAAAATGGCTGGTCTGGAGAAGCTCACATTTCCTCTTCAGGATGTATTACTGTTCTTTTTCTTCTATTAGCACCCTAAAAGGAACCTTTCCTGACTCAGTTGGGCTCTGGTGTCGTTCTTTGAACCTGCTGGCACAGGACTCAAGGATGTGGAGGAGCTAGCCAGAACTATTCACCTCTGAGCCATCTGCGACCCAGGGCAGAATCCAACCACCTAGATGACTTCTTTACATATTTTTAAAGATCATTAAAAGTAGGGGAAACATCTGCCTTGCTTATTTCAAAAAAAAAAAATCTGGGTGGATCAAATGTAGTTATGTACTCACAAGGAAGTGCTTTCCAAAATTAAGACACGAGAACAGGGCAGCCGTGTGTGGTGGCTTTGCCATATACTATTGGGCAAGACAGGATGACAAGTGTTGGTCTTACCAGTTAACCATGTCACCCTGTACTAGGGTCTCACTCTGTAGTCCAAGCTGGCCTGGAAATACAATATAGCCCAAGAAGGCCTCAAACTTGAGGCAGGTTCTCCTGCCTCCGACTCTCAAGTGCTGGAAATACAGGTGTAATATCACCTCTGGCTTTAAATCTTATTCATTTACGTCCTTTTGGTAGCAAATCATTGTCAGTGGTTGGGTTTCTAGTATGCGTGAGCCCCTCATCATACAGTGGACAGGCAATAGGGTCAGTTGGTGACCTCGTTAGAAACTGTTTCTTACTGTGATCTTACTGGAACATTACCCCGACCACTCAGAGCAAGGCAGGCAGGCATCTGTATTACTCCCTATTTTGAAGCTCTCGCTCAGAGGTGATCTGCTTTAACAGACCATGGATTCTAGGTCCTGTTGGCTTCTTGAACTATGATGTGTGTGCATAGTACTTGAGACCTTGTTCAGTGTGGAATCGGACCCAGAAGGTCTGGATAGCACTTGAGGACTAGGAGATGCTGAGGTTGCTGGTCTGAGAACCACACTTTGAGTAGCCAGGCCTTGGAATATTCAGAGTGAAGGACTGCTAAGCCAGAAGACTTCCATGACAGGACCCATGACCTCCTGGACCTATGTCCACCCAGCCTACACAGGAGACAATTCCTGTGTGCAACCGTCTCCAGACACATGCTTTCCCACATTGGCTAGCATTCCTCCAGCTGTCTGTGGGTTTTTGCTGGCCACTCACTGTCTTCCTGAGGGACCACCAACATTTCTAGTTGAGATGTCGTAGTGAAACAAGGACAGCCACTCACTATGGCAAAGCAAGGCTTTTTGGGTCTTTTCTTCACCCCCAAGGCACAGTCATTGGAGACACTGGCAGAGCATCCATGGATACGACAGCAGGCATCCCAAGTCACTCGGGCTGCTGTGGGTATCTAACACACTGTCATGAACTGACACTGATTTGTCAGGGACAAGCTTGCCCTGGAGATGGCTAAATCTTCCAGGTCACCTTGGGTTAAAACGGAAGATATGAGTCACTGACCATCTCAGAGCATGGACCAACCCATCCGAGTGTCCCCCAAACCAGGACTAAAGGAACGATGACCTTTTGTGGGTAACAAGGAGAAATGGTAACTAGGTCAGAGCACCAGGGAGAGGTCAGACAGGGATATATGTCGGTAAAAGGCTCCTTTTCCCGAGGAAATAAGCTCAGGGAAGGAATGCACACGGAGGGAATCTGTTCGCATCAGACCGAGAAGAGGAGAGTTTGGTTTGGGTGCAAAGGGATTTACTGTGAAATTCTACAAAATTGCCAGACTACTTTGGAAACTATTTTTTGCCATGGAAACAAACCCCATCTGTGCAGGCTTTGAGCTGCCTTTCGCTCTCTTTAAATATCATGAACCTGGCTCCAGCTCCGTTTATATAAGTGGGAATGAGGAGGAGGAGGAGGGGGAGGAGGAGGGGAGTCCGGCTTCTTATTTTTAGAAGCAGGAGTAAGTCAACATCTTAGCCGACTGTGTGCTGCCTCTGCGCAGTGACGTAGGGCTCGCTCCCACAGGGGACAGGAGTAGGGACGAAGCCGGAGGAGACAAGGGCTTCTTCCTGAGGCACGCTGTGTCTGCAGGAGGCGGATGCTGTGAATCGAGGTGAGCTTTATACCGACCAGAGGAAACAAAGCTGAAGCCCCTCGGCCCCCTTCCCATGGATGAAATTGGCAGGTGCCAGCTGAGGCCCACAGTGACCCCCCGAAAGACTCTCTTCCTTGGTAGGCGGCACTGGAACTCCTGCTGTGTGACTGAATTCTGCCATAAATCATTCTCAGGCTGTCCTGTCAGAAGGTGGGGAGCCTGGTGCGGGGGACCACGGGTGTCTGTTTTATGCTGGCCCTGACTCTGCTCCTGGCCAGTCTCATGGTGTTCTCTTGCCTCTCACAGATACAAACCCCACCTTACTCCAGGGGTAATATGATCCCCAAAAGGCTCCTCTGTCTGCTGGCTTTCCCCCCTTCCCTGGCCACAGAGTCCTATACTTGGCAGTGTATTTCAGAAGCCAGATGTGCAACCAATGCAGAACATGTAGGGGTTAAAGCCCCCATTACAGTGTCTATATTCAAAAATAGAAATAAACTAGGGAGACCCTCACACTTAGACTCTTTGCTTCAAGGCCCAGAGAGGTGTGGCCACTGCAGCCAGCACCAGAACCTCGGAAACAGGTACAGAATGGGACACCCCAGTGGGCCACAGTCCCACCAAGTGAAAACTCTGAGAACAAGGCTTGTGGCTCCAGGAAGACGCTCACGCACTAGACCTTTGGCCATCCGTTTACAAAACACAGTTGACATGTCGCGGGTGGGCTTGGGGACATGTGACGTGTAAACTGAATCCCACCATTGTGAGGGACCGTCTGACAGGAAAGTATTACCCACTTCCCAGGCTACGAGCCTTCAGATAGCAGCAATGATCCTACAGGTCGTGTTGTGATGGTGTTGTGACATGTCTGTGCTTACAGAGTCAAACACAAAACCTCCGAGGTCCTCAACTTGTGGGTCGTGACCCCTTGGGGGGTTGAATGATCCATTCACAGGGATCATGTAGCCTATATCCTGCATATCAGATACTTAAAAATTACAATTCATAACAGTAGCAAAATGACAGTTATGACGTAGCAACAAAAATAATTTTGTGGCCGGGGGTCGTCACAGCATGAAGAACTGTATTCAAGGGTCACGGCATTAGGAAGGTTGAGAACCACTGCTTTAGACAGGTTTAGGAGCCTTACCCAGGCAGGGCTGTGCGGGGAGCCACCTCGGGGGAGAAGGAGCTTGACGATGTCCAAGTTGTTGTGATGGACGGCCACGTGCAGGGGAGTCAGGCCATTCTGCAGGGTGACAGAGCAGAGGGAAAATGAACGGCTTCCTTTCTGCGAGGGACCATTTAGACAAGCAGGATCTACCTCCAACCCACGGCGCTTCTCTCCCAGGTAAGGACCCATCCAAAACTGGGCTGGGTAGAGTCCGGTGGTCAAGCACTTGGCCAGCATGTGACAGCCTCGGGCTTCATTTTATCACAACAAAAAGTGAAAATAAATCTCTTTAAGCTTAATAGTAGAGAGATTATTTAGGCTACACTCCAGTGCTGGGTTCCATCATCAATACAGTAGAAAAAAAAAATATCTGCCTAAAGCCAGTCTTGAAGGAGAGCCCCTGAAAGACAGCTCCAGCAGGATCTAGGACCATTTCTTCATCCCTGCTGGGGAGGGGGGCCATGAAATCAACACACTTGTTCAGAGAGTACCAGGTCCTTCTAACGGACAAGGCTTTTTCCATGTTGCTTTCTCCAAAGACCATTTTCTACGGAAGGCTGCCCAGGAGGGAGAGGTGATTCCCAGTGGGGAAGTCTGTCCCTTCTCACTTCCTCTAACCAAATAGGAGAGGGAATCTTCTCAGACTGAGAAGGGGAGAAGGAAGTTCATACTCACCTTTCCAGCCGCGTTGGGATGTGCATCGTGTTCCAGGAGCAGCTCGGCCACCCGTACCTTCCCATACTTAGCAGCCACATGGAGAGGGGTAAATCCTTTCTGAGGAGAAACACAGGCCATCAGGACCGTGGGAGCCAAGGCTGCTGATCTGAAGGAAGGTATGGTTGGGACTCTTCCTGCCCTAACCAGCATGGGAATGCCAATGTGGCAGAAGGACCTGAGTATTTTGGTCCCTGCAAGAGACTACAAGCCTTCCTGAGTACCACCTGGCCAACTCTCCTACCAAATAAGAGAAAGCTGCCTCCGATATTGTCAATTGCTTGTTGACTCAGAGAGGCAGGAGCTGTCTCTTTTGTTTATTGTTCCTTTGGAGACAGTCTTGCTAGGAGGCCCAGGCTGGCCTTGAACTCCAGATCTCTTTGCTTCATTCTCTGCAGTATTGGATGACAGGTGTGTGTCACTCTGTCCAGCAGAATCTTACCTATTTAGTTAGTTATCTTTTGCAGCTCTGGAGAGTGAACCCAGAGGCTTGCGTGTGCCAGGCAAGCACTCCTTTACAAAGCTACTTCCCAGTCCTTGAACCCCTGGATCCTTCCTGGATCCTAGGAACCTAGAGCAAATGTCTAGCAAGTTAACTGCCGCAGGAGAAATAGAAGAAACCTGGGTGGGAGCAGAGAACTGACTATGTCCTTTCTGGGGAAGTAGATGACACAATGGGCCTGCAGTGCCCCATGACCACGAAGAAGGATAGTTGGGGATCCCCTTCAGAGCCCCAGGCCTAGCCTATTGTTTCTGAAAAATATGTGGGGTTTGTTTATGTTTTGTTTCTGGTTTATTTTGGTGGGGGGATCCTGTCTTGCTATGTTGCCCAGGTTGGCCTTGAGCTCCTGGGCTCAAGTGATCCTCCTGTCTCAGCTTTCTGGGTGCTGTGATCACAGGTGGGGCACTAAACCCTGCCAGCCTGTCGCTTTCTAAGAATCGGAACAGCGGCTGTGTGACTGTACCTTGGTCATGCAGGCTTGGGATGCCTCCTTCTCCAGAAGGGCCAGGGCTGTGTCCACGTGGCCCTCACGGGCTGCGGTATGCAGGGGCGTGTGGCCAGCAGTGGTAGCCAGGTTGGGGCTGGCACCATTTTCCAGCAGGAGCTTCACCATGCTTGTGTGGCCGATGCGAGCAGCGCAATGAAGCGGTGTCTGGTCATCCTGGACCCCAGGTGAAAACACAGAACTGGAAATGTTAACCTTTCCAAACCCAACTGTATTTCCCAGGGGCGGGAGGCGAGGCCCACTGAGTGCAAATGACTCAGCCATGAATAAAGAGATCTGGGATTTCTTCCAGTCTCTGAGTTACAGAAAATAATACGCTCTACCTCATTTAATCCTTACAACTCACCGGCTTCGTGGTTATTGCTACTTAATTGCTCAAGGGTTGGTCCAGCTTCCCCAGTTGTAAGTGGGGAATTGTAACATCATTTCATAGGGTTTCAGATCAAACAGCTAATGGACACAAAGGGTTCAAATGTTGGACCGGAAAAGATACTGTAAACTGATGGCTATTCCAACAAGCTTTGTCTCCCAAGCTTTCTGCCTCCTGTACTTAATTCATGTTTGAACTGGACTTTGATGTTTTCTATGCCAGCAGTCACAGGGCTCCAGATGACTGAGTCGGGAAAGACGGCCGTTTATCCCACTCTTTCCCAACTCCCAGGTATAGCTCACGGTGCAGGGGTTCCACGGATGGCATATTGGCTACTGGGCTCAAGCAGAGATGCTCAAAGGGGCCTGTCGCTTGCAGAGTGCAGGTCTTTGCCACGCAGCCTATCTAGTACACTTGGTAGCTGATCGTATGGTGTCTTCACCATCCAGTAAACAACGGGAGATCCTCCACTTTTAGATCAAGTGACTCCCGGCTGATTACCACCGGGGACGCCATCTTACCAACTCCCTTCCTTCAGTCACATCTACCCATTAGCCCAATAAAAGCTGCAGGCCAGCCTGCTCCCTGGGTTTTGTTACGCTACAGAAACACAGCTTGGATGCAAGACTATCTCTGCCCTTCTCAGAACTCCAGCAAAGCAGAGCGGGAGCTTTCGGTGTGACCTACATGGGAGTGGTAATGCCTGTGAGCCCCTGGCCTCTGACCAGAATGCGTTCCCTTCACCAGGCTGGAGGGACCCTGGGACCCTCCCTTTCCTGCCTCCAGAGCTCACCTTGGCCTTGGCATTGACTTTTGCTTTGTTCTGGAGCAAATATTTGGCCACTTCCGTATGCCCTGCTCGGGCTGCCATGTGCAAAGGGGTCTCTACTTTCTGCAAAATAACGAAGTTATAGAACGGTTAACACATGCCGGGGTTGCAAAAGGACACACGCCGAACTCAGATCGCTGCCTGGGCTTGGTAGGATTGTGTCCAAGAGCTGGAGCTGCCCAGCCAAGTCTGTCTCTGCCTCTCTTTCTCTCTCAGTAGTATAGGTAAATGTGAAAGGAAACCTCGGAGGTAATGAATATTCAAATGTGGGGATGTACTTCCAGATTGCACTTATAGAAGTTCCAAAATAAAACTCTAAAGATGTACAGTTGTGTGACAAATTTAACTGGGGAAGCATCAATAGAGAGGCCTGCTCGCCCCGCTCCCGACACCTTTGCTATCCCGAGAATCCCATTTCTGTGGGCGGAGAGAACAGGGACCCCCTTCCACAGCTTCCCTCGGAGCCGTGGACCAGAGCCAAGCGCTCTCACGGTCTTGGAGAACTCACCACATTGGAGACGTTGGGTGACGCTCCCCGCTGCAGTAAGTTCTTCACAATAGGAAGGTGTCCCATGAAGGATGCCACGTGGAGAGGTGTCAGTCCAGACTAGAAGGGACAGAGTGGAGTGTGACGAGCAGGAAGGAACTTGCTCCACAAGGAAGAGCGAGCCTCAGTATCTTATGCTCTTCTGTTGCTGGAGAGCTCCAGGAACGGCTACCTGAGACAATGGACTTAAACCGGGTGGGCTTGTTCTCAGGAAGATGGCCACAAGGACAAAAAGCTCTGGCAGAGAAGTGTTACCACTTCACAATTCAAACCATCATTTCCCGTTGTGACAAGTCCTCCTGCCTGTGAGTCCCCTTGGTCCAGCCCCTTTTGAGACATGCTGACATGTACATGCCCATGCACACATGCACACCTGCAGCCACACAGAGCCGTGGAGAACAACCCCGCAAGGCGATGGAGGGGGAACGGGGTTGAAGGCATGTCTACGCTTTCTCCTACCTCAGTGACTGCGTCGATGGATGCGCCTGTCTTCAGCAGCAGCTCCATGACGCGGATGTGGTTTTTCTTGCAGGCGATGTGTAAGGGGGTGAAGCCATTCTGTAGCCCACACAGAGCACACAGATCAACTCAGACAGTAGCCAGAGAACTGGAAAGGCATCCTGCCCCTTCCCAGCCCACCGGCAAGCACTCATAGACCGCAGGATAGACCATGTCACTTCATGAACAGACAACAAACAGACATTCCCTCTCTTTACACATCAAGCATATTTCTGAGCATGATATTTGGGAACATTTAAAAAAGATTCCTATTCATATTTCTGGATACACTGAAAGAGTACTTTTTTGAGGCTGAATGACTTTTTGATGCTGAATGAAATGGATTCTGCTCCACAGCATGCTACACTGGCATACCCTTCCACAGGGACAGGGTTCTGTCTGTCTGTCTGCCTCTTCTGAACTTCATAGGGCAGTGCTTCTCAAACAAGGTCAGTTTTCTGGGGGTGGGGTGGGGCTGTAGCCATGTCTTTTCTGTCACAGGTAGTGTCTAGAGGTCAGAGACAGTGCCGAACGCCTTATAATAGACAGGACAGCACATTTCAACCCTAATGTCAACAGCCCCAAGCTTGGGAAGCCTCAGTGACCCCAGAGTCTGGTCTGTGCTCAGTGCAAGCAAGTTTGAAGGAATGAATGCTCTTTTGCCTCTGGAGGGTACCTGTCCCTTCAGTTCTCATGTGAAAATGGACAAGTGTGAGGCAAGGGTCCTGGACATGTCCTATGGCTCTTTGAACTACCCTGGTGGCCTCTGGCCTGGGGAGGAGGGGGAGGAGCACAGCCATAGGAGCACTCTGCCTTAGGTCTGAACTTGTTGCCTCCCAGGGCTGTGGCCACAGTCCCCTTGAAGAGGGGATGTACTCAGCTCAAGCCAATGCATCCTCACCCCGCAGTAGGTTGAAGGCCAGGCCTGCTTCTAAGACGTTACTGCCTCTCAGCCCTGAGTCTGGCTGGGGCCCCTGAACCCACGTGCATATCATAAACATCACTTTCAAAGTCAGAACTCCTGGGGATAAACCCACAGTGGACCTCAGCCTGTGGGCAAAGCTTTGTTCACAAGTGCAAAAGGCTACACTCCCCAGATAGGGATTGCAGTATAAAACTTCCATGCCCTATATGCTCTTGCCTTTGGTACTGCCCCGGGCACAGAGCACCCATGCAGCTCTGCGGCCCCCACCCCCATTCCTACACCCTAGGAGCCCTCCTATAGCAGCCGCCTCTCACCAGGGCTCTGGAGTTGGGCTTGGCCCCTTTGTCCAAAAGAACCTTGGCCACCCTGTGGTGGCCACAGTGGGCTGCCACGTGGAGAGGAGTCAGGTGATCCAAGGTGATGTCGTCGATCTCCGCATTGTATTGCAATAGAAGTCGGACACAGTCGAGGTGGTCTCCCTGAGCCGCCATGTGAATTGGGGACAAGCCATTCTGAAGGAAGAGAAATAGAGCAATGGCGGCAAAGCCCCAGGGACAGAGCAGGGGACTCGGGACAGTGGTGGCAAGGCCATGTCCTCCTTGTCGACACAGTTCTTCAGTGTGGAGCCCAAGTGAGCTTGGCCCTGACAAAGATGTTCTCTCCCACCTAGCCAAACCCTCCAGCCTTTCCAGGCAGCCCCAAACCTTCCAGCAAGGCCTCCCTGACCACCCTGGTCTCCCCAGGGCTTTGCTGGTCCATACTCAGTCTGACCTTATTTCTGCCTTGGCCAATTCATTGAACTTGCAGGTGCCATCTTGGGCACGTCTTTTAGTTACAAGCTCTACCTCATTCTTCCCAAATGCTCACAGGGCCCAATAAGTACACGCAACATGCATGGTGGGCCTTAATTCATGCGTCTTTGAGTGGAAAAAGGACGACAAAACAGGTTTTAGATCTCTCTAAAATTTTTAATTGAAAGGCATTCCCATTCATTTATTGGGTGTGTTTGTGGGGCGGTAAGGAGGCATGTGTGGTCATTCATACCCTAGAACCCAGAGATAAGCCTGTCTCTGGCTTTTTCTGAAGCTTGACAGAAGTGGTTTTAAATATATATATATTTTAAATTTCTCTCCTATCTGTCCTAGGCTCTGAAGACTTTTTAAAAGCTTAGCTCTTGTCCTTTCAGTAGGCTAGGATGGGAAAAACAGGGGCTGGTTTAGAGCAGACACAGGCAAACTGAACCTGGGGCCAACCCAGCATGTCGTTTGGGTTGTAAATATTCTTTTTTTTACCCTTTTATTTTATTTTACAATACCATTCAGTTCTACATATCAGCCACGGATTCCCTTGTTCTCCCCCGTCCTGATCCCCTCCCATTCCCCCCAGCCCACCCTCCATTTCCACCTCCTCCAGGGCAAAGCCTCCCCCGAGGACTGAGATGGACCTGGTAGACTCAGTCCAGGCAGGTCCAGTCCCCTCCTCCCAAACTGAGCCAAGTGTCCCTGCATAAGCCCCAGGTTTCAAACAGTCAACTCATGCAATGAGCACAGGACCCAGTACCACTGCCTAGATGCTTCCGAAACAGATCAAGCCAATCAACTGTCTCACCTATTCAGAGGACCTAATCCAGTTGGGGGCCCCTCAGCCTTTGGTTCATAGTTCATGTGTTTCCATTTGTTTGGCTATTTGTAAATACTCTTTTAATATTTCCTTTCATTTTTACTTATGTGCCTGTGTGTGTCTGCACAAATGCATGCTGGTGCCCATAGAGGGCAGAGAGGGTGTTAGATTCCCTGGAGCTGTTGGTTACAGAAGATTGTAAGCCACCGGATATGGGTGTTGGGAAGTGATCTTGGGTCCTGTGTAAGAGCAGCAAGTGTTCTTAACCATGGAGCCATCTTCCCAGTCCATCAATATTTTATTGGAACACAGTCACTTGCCTACATATTGCCCATGGATATTTTTCTGCCCCATTGGCAGATTTTTTAATTACAGCAATGAAATTGTCTGCAAAGCCAAAACATATTTGCTTACCTGAGCTTTTAGATAAAATGTTGCTGACTGCTAATCTAGATAAGAACTTTTGCTTCTAGTATGGGTACTGCAACAGATGCCACATGTACATACTAGCACACTCAGAATCAACATCTCTGATTGTAGAGAAATGGGATCCTGGGTCTGCGTGATGACTCATATCCATCGTCAATGTGTCTGGATTTTCAGTCACTATGGAAATACCTCTGGTATTTTTGAGGGTGTTTCTAGAAAGGTTTAAGTGAGAAATGAAGACCCAAATATGGGAGGCACCATCCTGCAGGCTGAGGTCCAGGACTGACTACAGAAGGAGAGAGAGAGCTGAGCACCAGCATTCACCTCTCTGCTTCCGACCATGGGTGGCATGTGACCCACTGCCTCATGCCCCTGCCGCTAGGCTTTCTCCACCATGATGGACTCAAAATTCAAACTGTGAGCTAAACCAGACTGTTCCCTCCTGAACTTGTCATATATTCTGTTCTAGCAACAAGAACAGTAACTAGTGCAGAAAAACTGGTACTAAGAAGTGTGCCGTTTCTATGATAAATCTGACACAGAATTCCCAGGCCGTTAGAATTGTTTTGCAAGAGAAATTTAGTAGATTTCAGAACTCCAGGCTAGAGAAGTCCCAGAAGGCTATAAATAGGGCCCAGTGGGCCCTGCTCATGAGAGTGTGGGAGACTAGAAAGCTGAGAGGAATGGATACAGGTAGTGATGGCCCAGCTCATGAGGTTTCAGAGAGGAACAAGCTCCCTTTCATGTTACAGTCTGCCAAAGAATCTGGCTTCTTTCTACCGTGTCCTGAGAACTTGGGTGAGGCTGAATGCAAAGTAAGGGATGAATTTGTGTGGTGGGAGAAATCTCAAAATAGGTGTCATGGTTACTCATGCAGGTCTATAGTGAGCAAGAGAACAACTGCAGAAGAGAAAGATAACAAAAATGTGTAGTTCAGCAGGAAAAGGAATTTAAAGTTGCAGACATGGTGGTGGAGAAGAAGCAGCAGCTGTAACTGCTAGCCCATTAAAGAGAAAAAAGTCCTTCTTGCTCTGGAAATGTAAATTGATTCGGAAGGGGAGAGCCTCTGAACACCGGATGCCACTGAACAGGGGCTCCCTGCTCACAACTTTTAAAGGATCACCCTGGCAGGCACGCTGAGGCCAACGCAGCTGTGCTCCCGGGGGGTCTAGCCTGGCCCCAGAGCTGGGTAGTGCTGCCCATGGGTTAGCTTCATAGACACAAAAGAGGCAAGACAGAGGGGCTTATGGAGTATTGTGCCACAGTTCCAGAGACCACTTAGGCCCAACAATGTGAGGCCGGGTCAGACTCTCTGCAAGGAGGCCCCGAGAGGCCACTGCATGAAGTCCTGAAGATGAACTGTTCGTCGGTGTCCTCTGAGGAAAGCTGCAAGCCCTGAGTCGTGCAGCCTCAAGGGAGGGGCTCTGTGTGCCGTAGGCGGCGGAGCCGGAGGGGCAAAGACATACAACCTCAACACCAGGCCAGACGTTGGACACAGAGCTGTAGGATTTGGTGTCTGCCCTACTGGGTTCTACTCTTGGCTTAGTCTGATCTTCCCTTGCTTCCGGGGTGTTTTCCAGGGAGGTTTATCTGAAGAGGGAACACCCCCTCCGGATGTGGGTGACACCATCCATGGGACTGGGACCCCAGACTGCATAAAGAGCGCCAGCATCTGTCTTTCTTATTCCTGACTGTAGCTCAGTGTGACCTTCCGTGGCTGCCCTGACCTCACCGCCACAAGGGACCGTGTCCCCTACAGCCGTGAGCCACCCTGAACCCTTCTCTCTTTAAGCGGCACTTATAAAGACATTTTGCCACGGCAACAAGAAAAGTCTGGATGACCTGGAGCGCCGCCTGCCAGATGGCGCACCCAGGAAGGAGCACACACCTTGGTTTTGGCTTGGATGGGTGCCCCATGGTCCAGCAGGATCTCTGAGATTCTCACGTGTCCATTCCGAGCTGCACAGTGGAGTGGCGTCAATTCGTCCTTTAGAAGAGAGCGGGAAACGGAACGCCCCAGAGACGGCCATCAGTGGCTAGGTGGCACAAGTCTGTCTGTAACCCCTTTCCCAGGCGTGGACGTTCTGGTTCTGCCTGCAGGCCAACTTGGCAAAACTTTAGCTTGGGGGTTTGTCACAGTCCCCTGGTGCACCCAGCGACGGCTGCAGACCACTCAGGGAGGGAGGCAGGCGGCACATCGGGAGCCTGTCACCCAGTGAGACTCAAGAGCAGAACTCACCCGTGCCCCCCCCCCCCCGCCCCGTCCTGGCTCCAAAGGCTGCTGACGCCTACCTTGGTCCTTGTTTCTATCTGAGCCCCTCGGTCCAGCAGGAGTCTCACCATGATCACATTCCCCCTGCGGGAGGCGATGTGCAGTGGTGTGATGCCATTCTGGAGGAAGGAAGCAGGGGGGGGGGGTATCAGAACCCGGGGCTTCTTTGGAAAGTGGCAGCATGCCTACTGCTCCCTAGCGCCTGCCCGCATCTCCTGACTGCCACAGGACAAGCCGCCGTTTTAACGATGGGAGAGTCAGGACCTGGGAGGACCTGATGGTTTTGAATTTCCTCCAGACAAAGCTGGTGGGAACTGAGAGACAGTGGATCAGTCACCTCCTAGCAGGAGGTCTTAGTAGTCACCGGGACTCTGGCCCCCTAGGCATTTCTGAGACACAGGTAGATTCCCAAGGTGATAAAGAGAAACAGGGGCACCCCCAAACTCTGGACAGTGTGCAGAGACCCCAGCGGGGTTACCTGAGGTGTGAAGTTGACACTGGCCCCCCTGTTGAGGAGCAGCTGGGCCACGTTGAGGTTCTCGTAGTGAGCTGCGATGTGGAGGGGTGTGAATCCCGTCTGGGGCGAGAGAGAGTGGAGACTCACTTGTCACATACCGGCACCTCTGTCCCAGAACCAGCTCAGGCTTTCTAAACAAGTTAACAGGAGGGCCCGACACACAGAGCGGGGCTTTGGCCAATGGCAAAAATCTATGGACGGCGTGGAGAGATGCCCTCATGGCAAGTTATATCCAAAGGCTTATTGCCACCTGAGAGCCACTTCTAGGCTTTGCCTATGGCCAAGGCAAATTATAAACTGAGGTCACCTCTCATGAAGAGATTTTAGTCACCGGTGAAGGTTTATGGAGTCCATGACTGCCAGCCCCCTAACAGGGTGTGTGAGTCAGCCATCTGGCTAGAGGGTTCACCACTGTCGTCCTGATCCATATACTTAGACCACATCCAAACAAACCCCGGGGACAAGGATGTGGTAGAATAGGTGGACGGAGGGACTGTGTGAACAGGTCAGGCAATCTAGCTGATTGAGGGACAGCCGATGGCCTAACTGGATGAGCAGTCGTTAGTAACACTTTAAATACCCCATCTCCAGGAACCCCGCTTTATACCCTCCCGCTCTCCTGCAACTGGACATGATGACTATTTCACCCAGCAAGGACAGCGGGGGTAAGAAGAGGGGGACGACCCAGAGTCCCCTCTGGGGTGCAGCTTCATTCTGGATGGAGGCCCACCCTGCCCTCCTGGGTGCTGTTCTGAATGCCCCAAGTAGCCAGAACCATCTCGGCTTTCTCCGGGGATCTGAGAAATCCCCGGGGCTGCCCACTAAGCCCTTCCACGTTGCTGCTGAGCACCTAAGGCCCAGGCTTCCTCCCCATCATCTCTGGTCTTGGAAAAACACTGGGAACCAAGGGTGCGTTGGGCACACCGTCGTCCTCCAGCGCCCCGGCTTGCTCTCCCTGGTGGACTCGTGCACCCTGGCTGCCCTCACCTTGGAAAGCACGTCTGGGTTGGGGTCGTTCTGCAGGAGTACCGCCGCCGTCCGTGTGTCGTCATTGCGGGCTGCGATGTGCAGGGCGGGGAGGCGCACTTTCCCTTTTGTCCCGTAGTTGATGAGGTGAGCCACCACATTCTCGTGACCCTGCTGTAGAGCCACGGCCAGCGGAGTGAAGCCATCCTGGTCAGGGGAGAGCAAAGATGGGATTCCAAAGCCCTTCGCGTCCTCCAAGCATCAGCTCAAGCGCCACCTCCTCCCAGAAGCCTTCCTTTGTCCCACGGCACTCAGTTTTCCTTTACCTCATGCTTGAGGTAAGGTCTGTCTGTGTGCTGTGAGGGTCTGACTGTGTGTGTCATGTTTGCTGTCTGACTGTGTGCTGTGAGGGTCTGACTGCGTGTGTCATGTTCACAGTCTGACTGTGTGCCGTGAGGGTCTGACTGTGTGTGTTGTGTTCGCAGTCTGACTGTGTGTCATGTTCGCAGTCTGACTGTGTGCCGTGTGGGTGTCTGACTGTGTGTGCTGTGTTCGCAGTCTGACTGTATGCCGTGAGGGTCTGACTGTGTGTCTTGTGTTCGCAGTCTGACTGTGTGCTGTGAGGATCTGACTGTGTGTGTCGTGTTCGCAGTCTGACTGTGTGCTGCAAGGGTCTGACTGTGTGTAGTGTTCGCAGTCTGACTGTGTGCTGCGAGGGTCTGACTGTGTGTGTCATGTTCACAGTCTGACTGTGTGCTGCGAGGGTCTGACTGTGTGTGTCATGTTCGCAGTCTGACTGTGTGCTGTGAGGGTGTCCAATTGTGTGTACCACGTGTTTGTTGTTTGATTACATGCTAAGGAGGTCTGAATGTGCATTCCCTGTTTGCAGTCTGACTATGTGCTATGATCACTGTATGTACCTGAGACACTTTCAGCCCAGAGCATGTTGCTCAAAGGAACTTACTTCTGTGGCTACATTCTGATTGGCTCCGTTCTCCAGTAAAAACTTCACCACCTCCAAGTGGTTCTCCTGGGCTGCCATGTAGAGGGGGGTAAAGCCTTTCTGCAAACCCGAAGAAGAAGCCATTAAAACGGTGGGGAAGACATGAAGACAGGTGCAAACCCTCTCACTGGGGGGGGGGGTGTTCTCTCTTCATACCCTCACTTTGCCACAAACCACTGCCTCTGGAAGATTATTACCCAAGGCCAAGAGGGAGAGATGATCCATAGAAGGGTTTTGTCCTGCACCTTCTCAAACATTCTCCTCTACTTAAAAAGTTGTTTCATTTTCAATTATGTGTATATGTATATCTGTGATGGGTGGATGTGTGCACGTGAATGGGCATGTTAGATTCCCGAAGCCGGAGTGACAGGTGGTTGTGAGCCACCTGGTGTGGGGTACTGGGAACTGAACTTGGATAATCCGCAAGAGCAGTACATGCCCTTAGCTGCTGATCTAACTCTCCAGGCCCCCCCAACCAAGCCTTAGATTCCTACCTATGGTATATGTATATGGTATATGTGATGGACCCACCTATGGTCCATTCATAATTTGTGATTTCACCAGTTTACTGAGCCAAGATGGAGTTCATACTGACCAACTCTCCATGCTAAGGATGTGTAGTCTAGCCTTGGAAAATTAACACAGAATGCCTGTATTACTGCTTGGAGACATGGCAGTAATAAATCTAGTCCTAGCTACAATGTGTGTGTGTGTGTGTGTGTGTGTGTAGTACACAGCAGCTAATGTGTCTTCTATGTAGCCTAAAACAATTGTGTAAGTGAAGAAGGACTTTCCTGTCCCAGGAATCAGGGAGCCTTACCTGAGACTGGGCATTGACATTGGCTCCATAATTGACCAGCTCCCGGACCACCTCATCCTGACCAGCAAGGGCAGCGATATGCAGAGCGGTATTCCCCTTCTGAAACAGAGGCAAGGGACAGATTTTCCTCAGCCTGCTCAAGGGATTGTCATGGGGAGGAAAACGAAGATACTCGTTGGGAAGACCCAAGGCAGAAACATCTGTGTCCATACCCAGCCTGTCACTGATCATGAGAGACTAGAAAAGCACAGAGAACAACGTCCTCTTCTCTCTCTCTCTCTCTCTCTCTCTCTCTCTCTCTCTCTCTCTCTCTCTCTCTCTCTCTCTCTCACACACACACACACACACATTACACACATATCACACACACATCACACACACATCACACACATATTACACACACATCACACAGGCACACACACACATTACACACACATACACACACACTCATCACATCACACATACACATCACATACACCCATCACACAGATACACACACAGAGACACAAACACATCACACACATTACATCACACAAATACACATCACACACACATTACACAGACACACACATCACACAGAGACACAAACACATCACACACACATTACACACATAGAGACACACACACATCACACACAGAGAGTCACAAACACACCCCAACTGCAAGCCTCAAGAAGACCCCTGGACCTGAAGGGCAGTCACAAGACAGGGGTGTGATCCTCTGTGTTAATGAAAAAACAGAAGAGATGCTTTAATTCTGTTTTGATTTACAAATATGCGATTTCTCCATGTTTAAGGAGCCATAGAATCTACAGGAAGAGAAGGGTTGGGTCAGCACCGTGTGTACTTGTTGGGTGATGTGAGCGGTCTACTTGACCCTTACCCACCCTGAATCTGGGCTCTAGTTTCTAGGATGGAGAGGGAGGAGAGAAGCCAGAACATCCATCATTCATGTTTGCATTCATGAGCCCAGCTAAGGAACTGGGGTGGGTTTTAGCTTCTTACTTTGTCTTTATTTCTAATCTTTCCTAAGCCTGGGAGACCCATGGCAATGTCACAGTCTGTCTGGTGTCTCCCCTAGCCTAAGGTTTGACTTTCACCTTTGGCACCCCTCCTTCCTCTATGGCATCCTAAAGCTTTGCTGGCATAGAAATGTCTATAAATAAACTCTACCAAGTAAGTATTCGTCACAAAATAAAAACCAAAGAGGAGGATTTGGAAAGAGTGACATTTACTCAGCTCTGGGGAAATGCCAGGGAAGAGAGGCTGCAGGTTTATGGCTGGGTACATTGGAGGTCAGTAGCTACCTCCTGGTCCCCGGGAAGAGCAGGTAAAACAGTCGATTGCTATCAAGGGGCTGGAAGCAAACGCAGTCCCAGAGAGTAACTCTGCTCACTGCACCGATGAGTGAGCGGGGAATGACACGAAAATTAGCGAATTTTACCAGGGGAAAGGATTCTACCTTCATAATATTTGGGAATTCATTTCGTACAAATTATATCTGTTCTCTACATATCATTCAGCTGCGTTTCCTGCCTCAGAGGTGGCAGGGTGCTGACTGCAAAGAGCTCAAACTGAGGCTGTGCTCGGGACACCATTTGACAAGCGTTGGACGGGAAGTGAGAGGTTACAGCCACTCGGGCAGAGAGACAGCGACGTGGGGAGATGGAGCCGGGAAGACTGGGGACAGCGGGGCACGGCAAAAGGAGACCATCTTAATAAACGAACTGCATGTGTATAAGAAATAAAGCTTGTTTTAGGGGGTGGGTGTAGGTCAGTGGCAGATTGCGTGTTTGCCATGCACGAAGACCAGGGTTCCACTACTAGCCAAGCACAAAACATTATTTTTGCAATCTATATCAACTGATGCTTCTATGCCAAACACTCCCTGATAAAAGGGAGTGCCGTCTCCGGTAACCAATCGGGGAGAAAGTAGATTTAGGGCTGAACAGGAAGATTTGCTAGAGAAGGACAAATCAGAAGGACCAGGGTTTCTTCAGTGACAACACCGTCACCGTCACTATTTCCCACCCAATTCTTATGCAGGGTACTTTATGTGCATGGGCTCAGTTAATTGTCACACCAACCCTGCAAGTAAGTGTCCTCATCCCTATTTACAGGGGAGAAACTGAGGCTTCCCAGTGGCCAAGTAACTTGCCTAGGGTCACAGAAGGGGAAGCAACTTTGGATGTTGCAGAACTCCTGGTCCCTGTGTGAAGCAGTAAGAAGCCACCATAAAAGGGTCCTGGTTTCAGAATCCAGTGAGAGGTTGGAGTAAAGGGCCGCTGACTATTTCTGGAAAGAGGGTTCTGCCTTTTCAGGTGGCACCCGAGACTCAGAGAAACAGGATGTGACGGATGAGCAGCATCCCAGAAATCAGGACCGTGCTTGGGCTGGTTTCCAAGCCGCAGTTTGAGGAAACACACAAAGGCCCACAGGCTTGAATTTTCAACCCCGCTTCTTACCTTGGTTGTCGTTTCTAGAATAATCTCTTTGTGCAGTAGCTCGACCACCATCTTCACGTGGCCCTCCTTAGACGCCAGATGCAAGCCGTTCAGCCCGTTCTGAGAGGAGCAGAAAGGTGGGAAGGCTTTGGTTAGTGACACTAGCCGCTCTTCCGTCCTAAGGACTGGGTATGGTGTATGGGGGAGTGGACGGCTGGAATGCAGGGACACTAGGTGGGTAGAGCTGACAGGGAGACTAGCTAGGAAGGTCAGGGCACCAAGGAGAGCAAAGACATTAAAACAGACACACTCTGGACAGGAACCACGTGCACGAACATTCTCTGAGAGCCTACAGGGGACTTGGAAGTGTCCAAATGTACACATGTTGAAGGCTTGAAGAGGTAGAACCATTAAGAGCTGGGGGAGCGGGTTAAGAAAGAGGCAGGTGGAATACAGCTCTCCTTCTGTCTTTTGCTTCCAAACTGCCACAGCTCAGCAATGCTGTGGGATGGTCTGTATGTCAAATTACACTGATTGGCCAGTGGCTAGGCAGGAAGTATAGGCGGGACTAACAGAGAGGAGAAAAGAAAGAACAGGAAGGTAGAAAGAGTCACTGCCAGCCACTGCCATGACAAGCAGCATGTGAAGATGCCAGTAAGCCACGAGCCACATGTCAAGGTATAGATTTGTGGAAATGGTTTAATTTAAGGTATAAGAACAGTTAGCAAAAAGCCTGCCACGGCCATACAGTTTGTAAACAATATAAGTCTCTGTGTTTATTTGGTTGGGTCTGAGCGGCTGTGGGACTGGAGGGTGACAAAGATTTGTCCTGACTGTGGGCCAGGCAGGAAAACTCTAGTTACACAGCAACCTCTTTTTACCACAAAATCATCCCAATACGTACGTTGTCATCACAGGCCCCCAAGTGATGAGACCAAGTGACCTTGGACTGACATTATGAACCAACATAAACTTTCTGGTTTTCATTTATTAAGTTTATTTTCCCAGGTATTTTGTCATAGTGGCAGACAGCTGACCACTGGTTGATGGGAAATCCCACTTAGTGGAGGCTACGTGAGTCCCTCAATGGAAAAACCAGTGTGAAAACGGCCCCTTTGTTAGCTCATCATTTCAGGTGCCACCAAAGAGGCTACGCCCAATCATCAGTCTCCAAAATCAGAGCTCTTGCCAAGATATGAAAGTTCTAGTCAGCCTTAGCTGCTACTGTGCCCCTTAAAGCCGTGCGGCTCAGGATGCATCTCTCAGTCCATGCTCCCTTCTTTCTGTTCTCTGACCTGTGTACTTAAAGGCCCTGGAACTTCCTGGCAAAATCTGATATCAAAAACTGCTATTTGTTGGGGGGTGGGGGTGGGGGTGGCACATGCCTTTAGTCCCAGTTCTAGGGAGGCAGAGGCAGGCAGATCTCTGTGAGTTCAAGGCCAGCCTGGTCTACAGAGTGAGTTTCAGGACAGCCAGGGCTACACAGAGAAACTCTATCTTGAAAATACCAAAAACAAACAAACAAACAAACAAACAAAAAAACCCCTGCTACCTAGAGGCTGGTAAGAAGGCATTTGCCATCACGCCTGATGACTTAAGTTTGGTTCATATGATGGAAGGACAGAACTGACTCCTTAAAGTTAACCTCTGACCTCCAATATGCTCATGGAGTGCATGTGCCCCTCATCCCAAATAAATACATTTTTTAAAAAGGTGTTACCCAGCACTGCAGATGATTCTGACAATGTGATGGCATGAATTTCAGTTCCATGGCTGAGCAGGATCCATAAAGGCAGAGGCTCTAGTCAGCAGATAATCTGCACTCATTGTCTCCTCCACCGTGGTCAACAGCCCTCTTCTCCTGTTTGTTTTGGTCAGTCTGGTTTTAGTACCTCCTTTCCTCGACCGCCCCCAGCCTTGGAGCTGCTGCAGGCTCTTGCCCATCAAGATGAGGCTTGACCACTCTGTGATTTGAGGCCTAAGACTCACCTGTCCTGGGAGTTCCTGCACCCTGGGCCCCAGAAATCCCCACTCCCCTCTTGGGTCAGAGCACACGTTCAGCTTCCCACTAAAACACAGCTCTCTACCTGGGGTCCGTGCTGCCTCTTAGCACGTGACCACAGGGAAGCGTCTCCTGGGGATGCATTGAGGGGCAGGGAAACAGGAGGGTTGCAGTATATCAACCTATGTTCTCTCTAGATCAGGCCTGCCCAGCCTGCAAGCAGCCAGTGAGGACAGCTAGCTGAGACCTTGCTGGGTTGGGACACTCCTT